CGTGGACCGGCGTCGATTCCGGACCCGTCCGTCGAGAATGACTTTCCGCCACGACGAAGCAGCACTAGTGGCCGTGTGTAGGGGACTTTTTCGCGAACTTGTGAAGTGCGCACTTTTTTGCGAGGTGGCGTTGTGCAGATAAAACGCAGAGCGTTTCAATTCGGCTCATTGTTTCGGTCATTAGCTTACGCGGCATGACGAGTGATAGGTGTGCTTTCGCGATAACGCATCTACTTTCTTCGAACTGTGATTACTTTCTGGATAATGTGTGGTGAATGTGCCTTAGAAATACGAAAAGCGTAACTGCCGTTTAGCCGCGATCGCTGAGGAAAAGGTATCGTATAACGTGCACCGGTCTTATCCTCTTCTCACTCTGATCCATGGTTTCGCTTCTACCGCCGCAATCGTTTGACAGTTTTCGAAAAATGTGCTTGTGCGCGTCGATCCTCGATCGATCGCGTTCTCGCGACTAATTCCCGATAATCGTGGCACACGGTTTAACCCGAAGAAACGTTAAAAAATGTTATGGTGTTTTGTTTTCTTTTTTTTCAGAAAGAAAATACGCGTGTCTCGTACATCGTAATACAGCAAATAAGTTTCTTTTGTCGGCGTTTTCGCCTAGATCGGCGTGCGTCCCAGTCGAGTTCTATCGTCAAAATTGCTGCGAGGATTTTCACTGCGAAACTTATCTCGAATTCGTCACATATAAATTTAGCAGTGTGCGATAGCGAACTTAAAAAGTCTAAAAACAGTTTCCGAATCGCACCGCCGCGCCGGGCTTTATGATAAACGTGTATCTGCGGGAAAAAAAGAAAAAAAAGAAAAAAGAAAAAGAAGAAGGAATTATTCGCTTCTTTTTTTACTTTAGCGGCGATAATCGTTTGGAGCGTATCCAAAATATTGCGGCATAATATTATTTACCGGTTTGTCGGTGTACGGTTTCTATTGTGCGCGACCGTGTGTACTTTAATTACTATTTCTTCGAAGTGGCGAGTCGACCAACGCAAAAATACCTTTCGAATCAGCGATACGATTATCAACGGAAACGTTGTAAAATAGTATACGGTATCCATACTTCTTCTTATCGTAATAACGCGTTATAGAATACAGAGGAAAAAAAAAACAATCGACGATCATTAATTCCGTTCTATATCGAAGCTTTTGTCATGGCGATACACCACACACATACGGCGCGGGCAACGAGCACTGTAAATTTGTTTTAAGATCTTTTTTTTTTTATCATTTTGCTAAGATAACACTATCAGCATACATTTAATGCTTGCGCTTTTATAAGTGGCGAAGAGAATTATTTAATCGTATGTTCTGGCTTCACTCCAGCTTGGCGACCTAATTTTCTTGTATGGTGCAAATAAAAAGTAGTGTAATCCTTCGCTTCTATTTTTACGCCATGCACTCTTTAATTCTTATTCTTCTACTCTCGACGTCGTGCAGACGATATTTTATTTTTTCTCGTTTCGCACGGTTTCGCCCAGCGAAACGCGTCGATGATACACACATACATATTCCCGTTTGCACGCGAGATCTGCAAAGACCGTTTTGACTTTTCGGAATATAGGTACACTAGACTCTTTCTCTTTCTTTCTCTCTCTCTCTCTCTCTTTCTCTCTTTTTCTTTTTCTTTCTGGTCGTTCGCGTTCTCCTCGGTGCCACGTAAAAATACCGCAAAACTTCAAAGTGTCGTTTTACAGCTCACGCGCGGCAACGGGAACGTTTACGTTCCCGTATTTTCATTCCATTCGAATTAATAACATATGTTCGTGCACGACATCTCTGGTCCATCTCGTCCCTATTAAACGAATCTGCGTATTAATTCGCCAGTTATATAAGTTTTCGTGGCTCCGAGAAATGTAAGGAAATTAACATCTGTTCTAATGCCACACCTATGGTAAACACGCTGGTTAAATATCAGTCGATACCGAAATATTATGTAATCTTTGCCCATCCTTTTACGGATAGACAAATTTTTGTCTCTCTGTCTCTCCCCCCTCTCTCTCTCTCTCTCTTTCTCTCTCTATTTCGTCTGAATCGTACGTACTCGTTTTAGAGAGATGTTAAGATCGAGGCGCGATTCTCGCTCGCGACATACCTATTTATTTTTTGCAACAGTACTTTTTATTTCGAAATAGCGGTTATCAAAAATTATCGACCTGCAGACTTATCGACTCGCGATTTATCGTGCACAACTAGAAAGTTTCGGCATTCGGATTTCGTTTCCTGGCCGACGTTGGTGCACATATTCGTAACGCTGGCGCGCATCTCGAATCGGACCAATCTCCTTAGATTTCGCGTTATAAAATGTTGCTTGGTCGAGACTCGGCCAGCCAAGGCATATTTTATTAAGCGATAAGATAAGTGTCAAGCTTTCGTTGGTTTAAATAGCGTACATTATTTCTGATTATAGGTGAATAGATATAACGATGGTAGATACGCAACACTTTTGTCTGCGATGGAACAATTACCAAAGCAGTATAACGTCGGCGTTTGAAAACTTAAGGGACGATGAAGATTTTGTGGACGTTACATTGGCCTGCGATGGCAAAAGCCTCAAAGCGCACCGCGTCGTACTTTCCGCATGCAGTCCCTATTTTAGAGAATTGCTCAAGGTAAGACATAGACATCGTATCTGATCCTGTGTTCCGCGATTTTGCGCCGATCCATCGTATAAATCTACATTCTTTATTGTCACCGTACCAGCGATGTATCGAGTGCAACGTCAATGTGTAACCATTGCAAGAAAACGTCTCTTCTTTTCCTCCTTGCTTGCCCTTTTGCAGAGCACACCGTGTAAACACCCGGTGATAGTACTTCAAGACGTAGCGTTCAGCGACTTGCACGCTTTAGTGGAGTTCATCTATCACGGGGAAGTGAACGTGCATCAGCGTTCCCTTAGCAGTTTTTTGAAGACTGCCGAAGTCCTCAGGGTATCGGGACTTACGCAACAAGCCGACCAAACAGACAGGGACGAGGTAAGCATTCCTCCGATCGTTTTCCTTGCTATTTTCTTCTCTAGCGTTCGTGGAACACACAGCAACCCATCGGCCATATGTAATATCCGAGTAATATCGAGCCTCGGTACCTCGCAAATTGATTATGCTTTGAATGTTATCTCTGATAGAGACGTGACTTTTAACTAAAGAACACCTTATCTCGGTGCAGAACGTGTATCCATCTTGATTCCAATCCATAATTGTCCTAGGTCAAGCAAACAAAGATAACCAGATTGCATTACAAATAGAAAGCGAGCAATCGTGATCGTGTTCTGGCGGGCATGCGCGGTACCGTCGAGCGATATATCGAGTATTTTCTTCGTCGACGATCTCTTCCCTTGATTACTCTTTTCTCTTTCAACCTTACAACCCGCCACCGTTTTACCGGTGAGCATGATGCTCCTTTTCGTTACTTCTGTTTTTTTTTCTTGTTTCCTTTTTAATTGCAGCTATCCCATGTACGCGCGTTGGCTGCCGGTGGTAACCACCTTCCCTTTCACGAAAAATCAGAAGAGAGTTTCCCCCGGGGTGGTTCCCCGCCCACACCAGTAACCCCGACACCGACGACCGTGCAGCAATTGCTACGTCGAGCGCAGATACGCAGGAACGAGAGACGAACACCGGATCCGCACGATGAGTCGGCGAAGAAGCCGAGGGTACCGTCGCCGCCTCTCAACAACAACGACGCTACTCCCACGGATTTCTCGATGGTGAAGAACAACCATCTGTCGAGCAAGGTCGAGGGTAACGGCGTGCACGAGGAGAACAGCCCCCTGGAAGACAACATCAAGTGCGAGCCGTTGGAGCTGACAGGTGGTAACAGCGGTAACGGAGGCAACAACGAAGACTCGTCGGATTCTGGAGCTGCGGCGTCGGACCGGCCACCCGCGTCGGCCAGCAGTAACGAGCACGAGGCCGAATCCGAACACACGTCCACCCCGAATTTTTTGTCCGAAACGAAAATCTTCCCCACGCCTGGAAGCTTTAATTTCAGTATGGCAGCGCTAGCCACGGAGCATACACCATTGTCAGGTACGTACATCAATCGCGTTTCTACTGGGCCTGTACGCATTGACCAATTTTCATCGTCTACCCCTCACACACGCATCGAGCACGATTTTCTTTTAACCCCGTTTGCATTGCCTTTTATAGTTTTCCCTCCCGTGATTTTTGACTATTTTGGTTTCTGCGTTCGAAACTCGACAGGACATTGATATTGTTATTTCACACCCTTTCTTTCTTTTCTATTCTTTCTTTATCCTTCCTTTCATATTTTTCCCCCTTATAAGCAAAGTAGTTTTAGAAGACGATTATGAAAGATTCTTTCCATCGAGTCTCTGTTAATTGCGATGTTGCGTACAGGCCGTTGTTCGGTCGATAGTGCGAAAGAATGTTCGTTGCTACGTGTGACGATAGTGAAATTTCCAGGATTGGGCCACGGGTTGCAACCACCGGACTTGGCAGGAACTTCGCAAGGTAAGAATATTTGCTATTAGCTCTGCCCTAGTGAAAATCATTAGAATATCAACGATCGAGGACTCGACAGAGAAGTGGACAACCCCCACCCCGTGTACATATATACATAGATCGTGGTTCGTATGGTCGTTCTGGAAATCTGTCACGCACGATCCTGTTTGGGGTTGACTTGAACCTTTGATTTCTGTTGATTTTTCACAGGGCATTTCTATGCTGTTCCATTATTTTCTATCGACAGTCGATACATCGTGGCCGCATTTGTCTGCGGTGTAGCGGTTCGCTCTAATATAAAGTAACTAAAAGACTTGTGCAGTTATATCAAACACTAACAAATCACGAATTATAAGAATGATTATACATATTATATATATACATACATATATATATTTTTTTTTATTTGGTTGCGGTGAAAGAGCACTACTGTCTGCTTGGACGATTAAAACTTCTTCTAATTGGCATGCGTTACAAAAATCATTGATATCATCATTACTTAAATGATACCATTTACCTTGCATTTGCATTTCATGATGTCATAACGTTCCCGCGGTTATCAACGAATTCGCGACGTTAGAAGGGATTTATCTGCTCACCTATCATCCGTTTTTACTTCTTTTGTTTCTTTTAACTGTGCTTCGCCTTTCATCTTTCGTCGTTTACTGAAAATTCGGAGAAGAATGGATAAACGTTCGGCCATTCGATCAAATCAAACCGGGAGCAAATCCGTTTAAATCGCGCGCCTCGTTTGCTCCCTGTATCTCCAGGTTAGAACGAAACATGCCGCGATTACACGCGGCCAATACGTTTTATAGAGCGGAGACGCTCTCCGCGGATGACTACAGGCAAAGAACAGCAGATACATTCGTTCTTTCGACTCGTCGAATTCGCTACGATCATTCTAATTGGCACAAAGCGATGAAAGAAACCATCACTGTTTGGCATCACTGTACAAAGTATCTGCCGCAATCTCTACCATGTTTAATGAAAAAAAAAGAGAAAGTAAGATCGAAAAGACCCCTCTTCATAGAAAGAAACGATAAAAGAGTAGAAAATGAAAGAAAAAGATCTAAAACAAAAAAAAAAAAAAAAGAAGGCAAAAGAAAGTACAGAAGAAGTTAATGAGTAACGATGCAGCGACAGACTGTTCTCTTTGTGTACACCTAATAAATCCTCGAAGAAATTTGCCAAAGTATTACCGATTTATTAATACTTTGAGTTTCGCGAATCGCGTCAAATGTCACTTTTATCGACGATTGATCTTTCATTCTATATATATATATATATATATATATATACATACATACATATGTATATACATATATATGTATACGTGCCGTGCTCGTATTGTCCAAATCATCGTTAAGTTTTGTATCAGTGTTGTCGTCCCATTAACGTTTGTTAACGGAAAACACGCCGCTGCCGCGATATCGCCGATACGACAGCATTATGACATTGCTTATAATTTTATATTTACGAATATTATACATATATATATATATTTATATGTTCTTTACACATGTAAACATATACGCATATTACCATATATATATATATGTATATATCGAGCAACGTAATTATAAAATATATTTTTCTTTTATCATTATATATTTTACAGACGTTATCGTGTATTACCAATTTGAAAAGTTTGCAATTACACCATAATTGTACGTAATTATAATCGTGAAACACATCGTCACGAGACACTTTGCAGCTTGTTCGTTTCCAATTACGAAAGAGGATGTGATAGGTCGTCCAATTTTGTCACACTCTTTTATATTATTCGAGAGACATTTGACTCTGACGTGCGTGTACCATATGGTAACGTCATTACGGTATATCTGCCGACTTATTGGCCATTTTTTCTCACTCGCTGGGACGGACAATTTGCTCTCTTTTTACTGTACGTCACGCTTGTACGCTATGCATATTTGGGGGGTCGTGGAGCGAACGCGCTCGCTGGGGCGGGGGTTAACGGTAAACTCGCTTAATAACGGTAAACGTTTCAACATACTCGACTTTGCCGAAGGAATACGAAGTGTTCTCGTTTTAGTAGCAAGATGCATTATCTGCTAGATTAGACAAACGTAGCCATTTTCTTATTTTTCTTTTTCTTTTTTCACCATGGAGACGAACGAACGACGATCGCAGAGGTATCACGATCGTAAACGCTTAAATACCCAAAGTTTCGAAAGCCGCGCAATCTGAACGAGAAAACAAACGAAAACAAAAAAATATCGTCGATCATGGGGATACGTCGTCTTCGGTTTCGCGATCGTCAGAGGAGAAGGTCTTAAATGCGTTCTAACAGTGTCGTTAAGTAAATTCAGGTGCGGCTACGCCCGCCTCCTCGATTAATATTTGAACGACTGGCTTATACTAGGTTAGTACTGAAAAAGTTATCAGGGGCCGTCGATAAGACCACAGATGTTATCCGCAAAATTCAAGGTCCCTCTATCTCCGACCAACGTGGCCAACTAAACATTGGCCTAACTAAAAATACGACGACCTTGGTACGCCACTCACGTTCTTGCGGCGCAGTGCGAATCATTAGACACATTAAATTATACGTGGCTGGTTCGCGAAGCTGTTCGACCCGGAGCCTAACACGGCGTATTTTCTTTCGACGTGATCGTCAGTCCGTTCTTTTCAGAAAGTCATCTCCCCCTCCTTTTCTGTTTTCTCTTCTTTTTTTTTTTTCTTTTACTCTTTTCGCTTCTGTACATTTCGGTTTGCTGCACTCGCGAGACAACAAAGCGCAGCGAATAAGCAGAGAACGTTACGTCGTTTCGACGCAAGAATAGACGAGTTGTTTGGACGTGCCGTTAAAAACGATAGCGCGCATCGTTCTTGGCCGCGAAAATTTCTCCGTTGAAAAATTTCTAGCCAAGCACGCCTCTCTAATCGGTCACTTGCAGCGTACGCGACGAATGCTTGTTTGTTTTTTCGCAGTTTTTATCTCGGCTAAGGCTTGTCGGTTCCTATCTATCGCGCGTATGCCCGCTCGCGACGGACAATTTTTTTTCTTGTTCGACCGAACGAACTGCAGCGACGTGATTTTGGCAAGGTTTCAGCCGAGAGATAGTTGCAGGGTCGTCGGTCCCGCGAAACTTTCCACCTACACCGTTTCGTTTGTTAAACGACGGGCAACCGAACGGTGCGAGTTTGCGTTAAAATTAAAACGAAAGAACGCACGGCACACCTGACTCGATTTTATAGCTGTTTGTTTCTACGTTAGATTATATTGAGTATTTTATTCCGCTTGTTCGTTTCGACGATCGATGGTGTTTTATGATAGCAGATTTTTGATAATATTGATAGTTCTGGCGATAATAGCAATAGTTTCGACATATGAAACAACATCGTGCAAGTTAATCGGGGGAAAAGATCAAGGTCTAGAAGTTTCGTAGATCAATTTAGAAAACGCGTTATCATTTCGACACACAGATAAAGTGAAATTTTAGTCTTGTAAATAGCGCGCACAGCGCCCGTTCCTTAATCATCTTTAATTCGTAATGGCTGGTTACGTAAAAAACAATCGTGCCAGATAGAAAGTACAACGTACGACCACTTGTCGAGCGATCAGCCTTAGACGAGAGCGCGAGTTTCTTTGTTCCTTCGCCTCTCTTCTGTACTCACACGGTTAAGATCTTTTTATTCCGCGCAGAGCCGGCTGCGAGCATATGGCGGTCCGCGTGTTTCTAGGCAGATTCGTCGAGGCCGTCGGAAAAAAATTCCCAAACGAATTTTGCTCTCGAACTTTCTGGTATACGGTCATTTCTGCTACATCGATACTGTCGTTATGAATGCACGATATTATAGATCGGCGAGAGAGGAAATCGTGCGAAACAATGAAAATTATACGATCGATCGCGTTAACCTTTCACACTGTGTCTGTCTCTTCTCTTTCTTCTTTCTTTTTTTTTTTTTTTTGCTGTCCGAAACGATGAATTTCACGCCGTAACATTTGAAATTAAAATAATTGTGCGACCTGATCGATGCGTTTATTTTTTTTTCCAAAGGCAGGTCGTTGTACGATGCGCGAACATCTCTTGTATATAACATTTTATACGCGCGCGTACAATATATTTCGTTGTCATTTATTTAAAGCGTGTGCCCGAGTTCTTCTTTTTTTTTTTTTTTTTTTGCTGTCCGAAACGATGAATTTCACGCCGTAACATTTGAAATTAAAATAATTGTGCGACCTGATCGATGCGTTTATTTTTTTTTCCAAAGGCAGGTCGTTGTACGATGCGCGAACATCTCTTGTATATAACATTTTATACGCGCGCGTACAATATATTTCGTTGTCATTTATTTAAAGCGTGTGCCCGAGAGAGAAGTTTTGCATAGAGCGACCGACACTCGGAGAAAGATGCGTTTATCGCGGTCTAATTTTAAATCTATTCATTCTGCTCCTTTCTCTCCGCGCGCGTCTATGCCCGCGTTTCTCGGCCGGTTTCGATGTCATTATCGCAAAGAGAGGAGAAATTCTTTCCCCGGGCCTAGATATTCTTAGCCCGTTTCCCGCTCGCCACTAAAATTGTTTAAAAAGCCGATACGTAGCGGTGTTGGTAGCGGGACTACCGCCACGGTCCCGCCACCGTCACGATTCCCTTTTCTCCACCTCCCTCCCTTTTCTCTCACCCCCGCCTTCCTCATCCCCCCTTTTTTTTCTTCCTTTATTTTCTCTCGTTTTCTGCTCTTTTCCGCGAACGCCTGCATCCGCGGTAACCTGTTGTAAAACCCGGCCGCATAAAAATAGCGGGTGCCGAGCTCTGGAGTCGAGCACTTTATCCTCTTTCTCTGTCTCTTTGTATCAGAGGGCGCGTTGCAGCGCATCGAGCAAATATTTATTTCACGGGACGTTCTCAGTGCCGGACATACCGCGCTCCGCCACGTATTCTTCCTCGCCTCGTTTTTCCTTCGGCCTTTTTTAATGGCCGACCGAATTCTTCGCACGAAAGCGATGGTCCACGCTCCGGTCGGTCCCGCGAAATGCTCGACCAACGACTTAGGCTGCAGTTGCAACGAACGCGTGTCCCGACGAACTGGCGTTTCGACGAATTGGAAGAAAATAAGGCCGCAAAAAATATCGAAGTACTGGAGTGTTCCTTTCATCAGATTTTACATTTCATCTTCGTCGTATGCGAATCTTCGCGATCGTACGAAAGTACTATCGCGTGATACGAAACTTAACAGGCTTGGATTTAATTGATGGAGCGTATAAAAATGTTATAATACGTAGAATGTAGAGCAAACAGTTTCTTTAGTTTTCACGTATGTATTTTGGTATTCTGATGTTTCGATAATGAAAACGACGGTTCGTCGGAACGCGCATCGACTGTTCCACAGCTCGAAGGATTACACGTAGGATTTTTGTTGTTCGTGTTTTTCGAATAGAATCCTTGCTTCGTCATTTCGTAGGAAGCGATTGACGTGGCCCGAAGAACGGGAAGGGGAACGGGGCAGGGCGTTTCATATTCGATCGAATCGGCAAACTACATAGTAGCCAAGGAAAGAAATTTCGGGTTACGTAACGTTTGTTAATGGCCTGTTTGCGAAACACGGAATTCATGCTGCCATCTGTCGACGTTGTCGATTCCGATGGTGTGCGAAAGTCTGTCTCTTGCTTACGTGACGTCCGCGAGTCCGCCTTGCATACGTCTATTTACTCGATACTTACTCATCTCGCTCCTTCTCTCTCTTCTTTCAGGCCGTCTCCTTTCCTCTCTGCCTCTTGTCGTTCGTTTCGGTAGCCAACGATCCGCGTTGGCAATTTACTT